GGCCCGGGAAGGGGCGGGGCCAGGCCGGGGGAGTTGGGGTTGCGGGGAGAGATGCCTGGCCGCCAAGAGGCCGCGCGGACGGCCGGCGCCGGGGTGCAGCGAGCTGGGGTGCGGACCCCAGGCGCCAGGCCTTCTTGGACCGCGCCGCGGAGGAGGTGCGTGCTGCAGGGGCCAGGGGCTGCAGAGGGCGAGGGGGCGAGGGATGGCAGGAGTGAGGGGTGCAGGGGCGAGAGGCCGCAGGGAGGAGGGGCCGCAGGGCGCGGCGCTCCCCAAGGGCCGGACGCGGCCAGGATCTCCGAGCCCCCGCCCACTGTTGCAGCCCCGCGCTGGCGCCGGGTCCTCCCCACAGACCCCGCCGACAGGGCTCGAACGCAGCAGCGGAGCTCCGAGAGCCTCTGGGCGCGCCTGGGTTTCAACAGAGACGAGGCGGCTCAGCTGGGGCGCCCCGCCTTCTGAGCTCCCGGCTGGGGCCGTCCTTGCGCTCGCTCCGAGGGGCCAGAGGCCGGAGCGGGGCGGCCGCGCACAGGGCCCGCACTCAGCGAGCAGGGCTGCGCGAATGAGAGGGTGCGTGGATGGGGGGCGTGGAGAGCAAAGAGAAGATGCCGATGACCGATGACCGACTCTTTTCAGCACGAGGTTCTGTGCCCAAAGCCTGCCCCTGCGCCTGAGCCCGGCATCCCTGCACAACGCAGACAAACCTGCCCTCCCAGAGCTCTCATTCCGGGGGAGCGAGGGTGGGATCAGAGGTGCCCCCCCTCCACCCACCTTCTTCCACAGGGCTCTCACCCGCAAGGCAGGGCGCCCTCAGAGGTGTGTGCAGCTGGCAGGAGGGAAGGACAGGTGTGGGGCCTGAACTAATGCAGGGGACAGGAGCCCAGTCTCAGGCCTCCTAAACCTGGGACTACCAGAGGGGACCCTGCTCAGTGTGAGGTCTTCTCAGGAAGGAGCTAGAGGTGCGGGCTGGTGTGCTGACCCGCAAGGAGTGAGTTTTGGAATTTGAGGTGTTGATACAGCCCAAGACCCCTCTGAGTCCTGGGGAAGGAAAAGGTGAGACTGTGACCAGCAACAAGTTTACTTCCGAATCAGAGCGCAAAGGCGGGGTCCCAGCGGGCGCGCAGGGCGGCTCCCCAAGCAGGTCCTGGCCTCTGGCAGCTGGCCAGGCCTGGGTCCCAGCTGGGCCTACTTGGAGGGCAGCTTCTTGGATTTGCCTGCCAAGGATGAGACCTCCAGCTGTTGCAGGGGGGGCACTTTGACCCCCTTCAGTTTCAGTTGATTGTAGTAGTCGGTTCTCTCCGAGATGATCTTCTGGAAGACAAATGCAGCCCAGGCTGCCCAGTCCATGCTGGCTACTCAGGACTCCACCCTGTCCTCCCCCTGAAGTGCTCGCTGCAGCCGTGGTGTGCTGCTGGTATTTACAGCCGCTCTCCAGGGGAAAAAAGAAAAAGCTCTGGTTTGTAGCATTTGCCAATTTCTGTGCTGAAAACACTCCCACCATGGCTGATCCAGCCATGGAGGTGAAGCCACAGAACTCCAAGTTGGGAAGAGATGCCCACCATGGGCTCCGGTCAGCTCAACCCCTGAAGCTGGTGCTAAATGCACTTCTTTGGTCCTCTGAGAATTGCAAGGAGCCCAGACTCAGAGACCTCAGAGGCCTTCAGGTCTGTCCCTCAAGTCCCTTCTGTCCTGCACACAGGGAGGTTGTCCCAGTCTGCCCTACCTCCTCCTCTCTGGCCCGTTGCTGTTCTGTGTCAGGCATTAGCAAAGGAACGAGGATCTTTCCTGGTTGCTGGGTGGTGCTGATGACTCTTTCCATCCCTCCCTCCATGCCTCCCTGTTTTCTTCCCATCCCCCTCCCTCTGTACCGGTCTTTCTCCCTCCCTCTCTCCTTCCATCCCTCTCTCTATTCCTTCCTCTCTGTCTCTCTCCCTCCCTCTCATCCTCTCTCTCCCTCCCCTCCCCCAAACAACGTTAGCTAGGCAGCAGAGACCTCTCCCCAGGTCCCCATGCAGGGGTCCCCCTCTGCCCTGAGGACTGCTGCCCTACTGGAGCACCCTTGACCAGGGGCCCACACCACTTCACAGAGGAAAGGAACCAGGCCCGGGGAAACGTGGGTGCTGGAAGGTCATGGGCACCTGCTGGGGTCAAAGGGCTGTGCCATCCGGGAGGTTGGGGCTTGGAGACAGAAGCAGCCCCTAGTGAGAAACACACGTGGTCCCCGCAGAGCAGAGCTCGCGTCAGTCGGGAGCTCTTCTCCCAGAGCTCTGGGCCCCGCCATGCCTGCTCTCTCCTGTGCACAAAGGGAAGCTCTAAGGCTCAGCAAAGTCTAGTGACCTGCCCACAGCTTCTCTGCCAGCGGCGGGGATTGGTCCGGGAGGACTCACCCCTGCCGGCCCCAAAGCCTGCACTATTTCTCCTACCCCACCCTGCCTCTCTGAGACCTCTGCTTGGGGTCGGCAAGGAACTGGCATGGACCAAGGCCGGGGAGGGGGGTCCTTGCCAGGATCCTGGCTCAGCAGATGACAATTCCAGCTGAGGCCATGCTGAGGTGCTAAGAAGCATCGCCGAGAAGGCTGGGTTGGGCAGAGCCTGGGGAGGGTTCCCGCTGCAGGAGACTCTCCAGGACCCCTGCAGCCTGGCCCTCTCCCCACTGCACCCCAGAGGGCCCACTGCTGCTGCTGGTCACTGAATGCTGAGAGCACCTTAGCCTCGCCAGCTCCCCGACATCGCCACCCCTTCGGGAGATCTGGTCCCCTCTGCCTGAGCAGAGAGAAAGGACGATCCCAGGGTCACAGTGAACAAGTGACACAGCCAGGATGAGAACGGGGTCCTCAGCATCCAATCCCTCTCCCCTCGGCCCTGCTGCAGATCTGCGAGCTCTGGCCTGGAGACGTGGCCCCAGGGACGAGGAGGCAGCCAAGCACTGGATGTACCTGCAAGGCTTCCAGGATGTCACTGTCAGAGATCTCAGTGGCCACAGACTTGATCCCTGAGGTGCTAAAGGTGGCCTGGATGATCTTGTTTCTTAGTCTTTCAAGCTGTGAGCAAAGGGAGGATAACCAGGCTGGCCTTCACCAGAGGAAGGCAGGCGTGAGCCACGCCCACCGCCTGGTGTCAGTTTTACAGGCGGTAGATGTATGCTCACTTTTCGTGGCTTTAGGAACTGGAAACTGAGGGTGGGAGAGGTCAGCGTGGGCAGCCTGAGATCTAGAAGGTGTCAGATCAAAACCCAGACCCAGGTGGCCTAAACCAAAGACTTTCTACCATACTAACTTTTTTTAAGTGAAAAAGTAAAACCTGGGGCCGGCCCGGTGGCGTAGTGGTTGAGTTCATGGGCTCCGCTTCGGCGGCCCCGGGTTCACTGGTTCGGATCCCAGGCGCAGGCCTACTCATGGCTCATCAAGTCACGCTGAGGCAGCGTCCCACATAGAGCAACTAGAAGGATGTACAGCTATGACATACAACTACCTACTGGGGCTTTGGGGAGAAAAAAAGGAAAAAAGGAGGAAGATTGGCAGCAGATGTTAGCTCAGGGCCAATCTTCCTCAAAAAAAAAGAAAAGAAAAAGTAAAGCCTGCACATAGTTTAAAAAAAAAAAAACAATACAAAAGCTCCCAATGACCTCCAGGAGCTTTGGGCACAATCTCCTCCTGACACCCAGGAGACTCTGCATGACTAGCGGGGTGTCCTGCGTCCTTGGTCAGCCCCTCGATTTTTGATTCAACGAAACACTTGGCAGTCAGTCCCTCCCTGTTGGTACCCACCCTTCCTCCTCCTCTTACCGACCATGAGACACTCCATGCTGTGACACCCGCATTTAACCAGGCGCTAACTAGCTAGTAACGAGGCATTAACTAGGCAGTAACCAGGCGCTAACCAGGATGGACCACTGAGGCTGTCTAGTCTTGTGCTGCCATCAGCATCCTTGTGCGTTTGCAGGGCCCCAGCCCACCTCCCCAGAGGTGAGCTAATCATGCCCCCCAGGAACTTCAGAATAAACCCCTCCCATCTGTACCCCAGAAGCCCTCAGACAAGGTCCCCCAACTTATGGTGACAAGTTAGCGCCTCAGTGTCCAGAAGCCCTGGTGAAGCAGAGACGTCGAGTGAGAGCCAGACTCAGGAGACTTGGCATTGCCTACAAGGGTTGCAAGTGTGTCCGCTTTGCCTCTGGGACAGGATTGAAGCGAAAGTGGGGATGTTACAAGGCCTTGGACCTCAAATGTGGGGAGGGGCTTCCTTTCCTTCTCTCCAATATGTATTGATGCCAGCTCCGTGCCAGGCACCGTGCAAGGTGTGGGGGTTACCGAGGGAATGGGGGACTCACTCTCTGTACTAGAGGTGGCTTCTGCTGGCTAAGGGGTGGCGGTCACCTGGGGTGTCCAGCCACAGTGCCCCACGTGCAGGCCTGTCTCAGGCATCACTCATCAGCCACGACACTACTTCCTGCTGACCCCAGAATTAGCCTCAGAATCTTTCATAACACGGCATTCCAGGCTCTACCAAACCGACGTAAATTGGCACAGGAAATGAAACCTATACACCATAGGCCATCTGACGCTCTAGCTGGGGCTGCTGCTGCGTGAGAAACACGGTCATATAAAAGATAACAGGGGAGGGGGCCTCAGTAATGCTGTCCCAGCCAGCCGGCAGGAGGCGGCCCGAAACAGGAAGGAGAACGAAGCTGGCTGAGAGCTGGCACTCCTGGACAGTGGGGAAAATGTGGTTTCAAGGACCTTTACCTCAGCTGGTTTTGACTCTAAGTCAAGTCGGCTCCTCGCTGATTGCCCTTTTCGGCCTGGGTTCCTCCTAAGCAGGGTGCACCCGGCTGCCTCTGTGCCTTTGCTCGCATCTCATGGGGGGCTCCGAGGGGCCCTGCTCCTCAAATGCCACCTCAAGGCAGCTCTGAGATTTCAGGGGGATATTTACCCTCTCCTGCTGCAGTTTCCTCCTCTGTAAGGTGAGGATACTGATGATATCTATCCCATGGCTTTGTTAACAGGGTCACATGACTTGAATAAAATGTTTAGACACTGCCTGCCCCCTAGCAAGCACTCAGTAAATTACAGAGATGACGTCATTATTACTATGTCCCTCCCACCCGGAGACCTTCTTCCTGGCTGGCTGTCCAAATCCTTGTGCCCCTTCACAGCCCAGCCCAATGCGCTCTCCTCCATAAACGTGGCCATCAAGTCCGCCTCCGCCCCAGGCCCCCTCCTGCCTCGACGGCTGACTGAAGTGTCAGTGCCCCATGGCACCCTTGCCTCTCCTCTGCCAACATTTCTGGAACGTCGCCTCCATGCCTTGGGCTGGGATACAAGGGCGAATGAGCCAGAGCCCCTGCCCACTCAGGGCACAGTCTGCCTCAGTCGGCGGCCGGCACGGGCCTGCTGCTCTGCCCTGCGCGCTGCAGGGCCGGGACTCGCAGGAGGAGGGATCTGGGCCTACCCTGGACTGGGCCATCTCCAGGGCCACGCGGGCCTGCTCCTCCGCCTGCTGGATCATCTCGTTCTTGTCCTGCATTTCCCCCTGCAGCTGCTTCCACCTCTGCAGATGGTTCTGGTTCTGGGCCACCTGGGCCTGCAGCTGGCTGACCTTGGCGTCAGCCTCCGAGATGGTGTGCTCCCGCTTGGTGAGTTCGCGCTCCAGCTCGGACACTTGCTGGGGGGCAGGGGGACAGCCAGGGAGGACAGAGGAGTAGGCCCACCTGGCCCAAACTGGTTACACCTGTTCCCATCCCGTCTTCCTCAAAAGACGCCAACTCTCACAGCGTCCTCAAGTCAAATCCGGACCCAGCAATGGCGAGGAGCCTCTGTGTCCGTGTGTGCTCCTGAGATTTGGTGAATGGGATGCTGCCTATGAGTGGGCCCCCACTCAGCTGTGAAGGGATTTTCTAGCTTCATCTTTCCCCATCGCCGCATCAGGACTTACAGCAAGAACCATGACCTGCTGACCTTTTAACACCACCCCCCCGGCAGTCACCTGTCGGAGGAGATAGTTGTCCTTCTCAATGAGCCCCATCATCTCTTGGTGCTTCTTGTCTTCTCGGAGGTTGGAGAACTGGAAGGCAGAGGAGGGGTTGGCTCAGGGGGCTCCAGGGCGAGATGGCAGATTGAACGCTCGCATCTTTTTTCCCCACTGAACCTCCGTGAGATGAGAGCAGGGGGATTTCTGTTGAGGAGGGGAGACGAGGAGAAGCAGGAATGCCAGACACACTTGGGAAGTTGGGAAGCAGATCCAAGAAAGCTGAATCCTAAGCCGGCAACAGGGAAAGATGAAGACAAGCCCGATTCACACTTCGGAGTTCCTAAAAGTCTCAGAGGTTGGTGGTGCCGGCTCTTCTGGACGTGGCGCTCAAATGAGGAGGATCGTGGGACATTGTTTCAGAAACTAAGAGCCGCAGACTCGTCTGACCCTGAGCAGCGGGTGCCGGCCCCTTTGCCACCCGGCAGGAGACTGGATGTTGGGGGTACAGCCTGGGAGGTGCCAGGCTCAGCTGAGCGGGTGACCCCAGACGCCCGATGTGGGGTGTGGGTGCTGAACGTGGAGACTCCAGCCTTCTTCCCCACTTGGCTCCTGGAACCCCAGCACCTGGGCCCTTACATTCCAGGCAAGAAATTCTTCTAGTTTCCCAGATTCCAGGGGAATCTGACCAAACCAAGAGGAAAGACCTAAAAAGACAAGCACTGAACTCTCCGTTGAAACACCCAAGCGCACGCCTCTCCCGTGAAGCACAAAATTGTCACCCGTGTGCTCGGAGGTGCCAGTCAGCTCCCATGCTGGAGGAAAGTTCTCGCATCAGTGACACGGACCAAAAACACTCTTACCAAAGGATCTTGTAGGAGATAGAAGTGGTGCAAGAAGTTAAAAGGAGAACAACTTCCATTAATGCTCTCATCGAGGTAAGGGAAGATACCACAACTGAGAAACAAAAAAAGAACACGCTTCAAAAGGAGAGAAAAAGGAACATTCAGAGACCAAAAGAGACGTCTTGGGAATTGTAAATGTTGTAACAAAATTAAAACTCAGGAGGAGGGCTGTTGGTAAAGTTAAGGAAATCTCCTAAGAAGAGAGAGGAGGAAATGAAAAACAATATAAACAAAGAAAAATTCCAGAACTGAAGGACACAGGTCTCCAGTTGGCCGCTACGAGCGTGGACAATGAAAAGAGACCCTCAATAAGGTGCAACTTTGTGGCATTTCAGAACACCTGGGACAAAGATAGCATCTGGCAACCTTCCAGAAAGGAACCGACCACCACCAACAACTGTGTCATAAGAATCAGGGTGACTGTGGGCTTCCCGCCAGCAACCCTGGGAGCTAGAGGATGATGGAGCAATGCCTTCACAGTGCTGAGGGAAAATGCTTTCCAGACTGGAATTCTATATCCAGCCAAGTTCTATTCATGTGTAGAGTACGGACATCTGCAGACCTGCGGTGTCCTCCCAAATTTACCCCCACACACCTTTTCTCAGAAACTACTGGAGGGTGTGCTCCAAAGAAAGTAGGGAGCAGATCAAGAAAGAGAAAGACATGGGGTGCAGCAGTTTTAAAATGTGGCTTATAAATCTTAATACTGTGTTGTATAGCATGTGGTTCAGTTCATGTGTGTGCTGCCGATAACCATCTTAAGGCTGTAAATGCAATGTCAGCTCACTGACGCCGTGACAGGATGGTATTGGGGGGGATGGATTTCCCTGTGGGGGGGGGAGTCAGGGGAGGAAAGAAGGAAGCATTAGATAATGCTAAGACGGAGAAAAATCTAGAATACACATGCTATCTAGAGACATGGAGAGCGATTCCTAAAGAATCAGCTAGAAGAGTTGAAAGTGGTTGCCTTGGGGGAGGGGCAAATGAGAAGGAGAAAGGGGGACACCCCTGTTTTGCATAACAAGCCTTGTGGAACTATTTGGTTCTTTAAGTTATGTGCATGAATAACTTCAATAAAAATAAAAACTGAAGAGCCAGCCCTGATGGCCTAGTGGTTAAAGTTCGGCATGTTCTGCTTCGGCGGCCCGGATTCAGTTCCTGGGCGAGGAACCACGCCACTTATCTGTCAGTAGCCAAGCTGTGGCAGCAGCTCACATAGAAGAACAGTACTTACAACCAGAATATACAACTATGTGAGGGAGCTTTTGGGAGAAAAAAAAAAGAGAGGAAGGTTGGCAACAGATGTTAGCTCAGGGCGAATCTGTCCCAGCAAAATAAATAAATAAAGACATGAAATAAAAACTAAAATTGCTTAACAAGGAGTGGGCTCAGCAGAGTGGCAACCTCTCTAAGCATGGTGGGGCTCTCACCCCTGGAACTCAGGGGCCAGGAGATGCTTGAGAAGTGGCCAGGAGCCACGTGGCCCAGGAGACAGGGAGAACCCTTTGGGCCTGAGGGCAGTGCAGGGCCGAGGCGGGGCGTGGTGTGAACCCCAGCTCTGCCGCTACGCTATGGGTAGCATGACCCTGGGGAAGTCGCTCAGCTCCCTGAGTTCAGCGTCTCCAGTGGGGGATGGGACGGATGGCGCCCACCCCCTAGCCCCACCCCCGAGCTGCAGGGAGGGCGGGGGAGTGAAGGGCCGCGGTGCCCGCGGAGTGATGGAGGACACTGCACCTTGTCGGACATGGCCTGTAACTGACGCTTCCGCTCTCGCAGCTCCTTCTGCAGCATCTCGTTTTCTGTGTTGACCTTTTGCAGCTGGGATTCTTGGAAATCCACTTGTCGTTGTAAAGACGTGATGGCCCCTGAGTGAGCAGCGGGAGAGGAGAGGGGATGATGGAGACCGGGAAGAGAGAGGGCTGGGGTCACAAGGTCAGCTCCAAGGGGCCCTGTGACCCCAGGCTGAGGGCTGCTGACCCCTGCCTGGGCGTCCAGCACTGGGAACATGCCTTCAGTTCCCTCAGGCCGCCCTCTGTCAGGTGGCTCCCAGCTAAGTGGAACGGGGTGGACCGTTGGCCATCCCACCCACTGGACAAAGCCGGCAGTGCCTGGGCATCCCAACTGCTGAGCCCGGGCCCAGTGGTCCTGCCTCGGCATCCTCCAGCATCCTACCTATTGCGAGGGAGTATCTGGTCCTGGTGATCTCCAGCTCTAACTGGAACTCCTGGATCACCTGCTCGTACTCCTCCAGCTGGGCCATCAGCTCCTGCTCAAACGCCTCGTCCAGGGAGTAAGTCCTCCTCCTGCTGGGGTTGGTGTCCTCCTCCTCCTCCTGCACCTCCCTTTCCTCTTCCAGTTTCACTGCCTCCTCCTCCTCCTCCTCCTCACCTCGCTCCTGGTGCACAGACCCCATCCTGCCCACTTGGTCTTTTGCTCCCTTGTCCGCCGCCCTCTCGTCCTCCCCTTCCAGGCTCTCTTCCTCTTCAACACCGCCTGCTTCCGTGTCCTTGCCTCTGTCGCTCATGGCATACTCCTCGTGCATCTGAGAGAGAAAAGGGGTGCTTGGCAGTGGGGGGCTGCGCCACAACCCCGACCTGCAAGCCTCGTGGTCTCGGGAGACTGCAACTGACTGGCTCTGGGGCGCGGGGGCTGGAGTTGCTTTACTGGGAGCTGCCCTGCCACCCCTCGCCCGTTCCCGTAGAGGGCGGCTGAGGGCCTACGCCTGGCGGGAGGGCCACCAGCTTAGGGCTGCAAGTGGGACACCTGGGCATTGCCCGGGCATCCCTGGAGATGAGGCCCGGGGCCCACCTGCTTGCCCAGCGTCCCGGCCAGCCCGCACCTGCTGCCAGCGGTGCTGCTCCTCGTCGTCTCTCAAGAAGCTTTTCAGGATGCTCAGCCTCCCCAGTGCCTTTGGCATGGACTCTGAGGGCCGCTCCTGTGAGATGCCCACGTGAGCCTCAGGGTTTCACACTGCTCCCTCCGCTCCCCCAGGTGATGTGCCACCGAGACCTGTCCTCCTGGAAGGGGGACAGCAGCCTCTCCACAGGGTGGGGGGGCACCCGCCGTCCTCCTGCCAAGGGGGCCGTGTCAGTGGGCGGAGGGGGCAGTGACCCGAAGATGGCAGCCCTGGGGGGCGGTGTGAATTCTGGCTCCCCCGGCACAGCCCCAGCGAGCGGCCTTGCAGGAATGAGCACGCTCATTTGAAGAGTCGAGGGGGGCCAGCCTCAGACATGCCCACACTGCACGTCGCTGCTGGCACTCTGCCCACTCACAACTATCTCCCAGCCCTTGGGAGACCACGGAACAGGAAACGCAGGGCGATGCTTCCAGGCCTCTCCAGACTCCTGCTGCCCCCTGCCCACTGGTCCTCCACCGTCGGTGTCTGGGCAGCTTTCTCTGGAGGCGTCTAGGGGATTCTGTGGTAGTCTGAAGCACCCCCTTCCCACCTCATGTGCGCCCCTGGCATAAACACAGGCTGTATCCTCAGATGTGAAAGCAATCAGGTCTGAGAAAGACTAGTGACTCCTTCCCAGGGCCACACAGAGCCACCCCTGGGCCCTGCCGGGACCTGCCTCATGCAGGCCTCCGCCCAGACCCGGGGGACAGGCAGCTCCCCATCCCCATTTTGCAGGCAAGGACACTGAGTGTCCCACAGCCAGGAAGGGGCAGGCTAATCCAAGCTACCACCACCCATGGGGCCCGTTGCCAGGCCAGGTCGGGGAGCTCCACCTGCAGGGGAACCTTCCATCCTCCAGGATTTCAGAGGAGCGGGTCCCTCATCCTACAGGTAGGGAAACTGAGTCCAGAGAGCACCATGGCCTGCCCCAGGGAGAAAGCAAGTGGGCAGCAAAGCGCTGGGGTCTAGCTCTCCTGCTCACGGCTCTTTTCTTGTATTGTATGTCTGTCTCCTCTCCTCTGGATTCTGGGCTGTTGCTCAGAACCCTGAGACCAAGTCAGAGCTCCCGTGAGGACCTGGCAACCCTCCAGGGTGACAGAGGATTTGCCTGGTGGCCTGAGGGTCAGCAGGCGGTTTGGACGCTTTGGAAGCAGAGCCTGTGGCTCAGGCGCTCTGCTCACCTGCGTGCCCTGGTACCCTGGTGTCTCTTGGCCTTTGCTGTTGAGACGGTATCTCAGCTGCTTCTTCAGGGCCTCCCTCTCCTCCTGGAGGGCCAAGATCTCCTCGTCTTTCTGCTGAACCTGCACCTGCAGCTCGGAGAGGCGCTGGACTTCCTCCCCCAGCGTGAACAGGCAGTGATCCTGGGCAGAACAACGAGGCAGCCCCCATGTGCCACAGAGCCACACAGACCCTTCCCCCTCTCTCTCCAGCCCACCCACAGAACAGCAGCTCCAGGCCCGGGAAGAGCAGACCTGCTGTCCTGGGACCCAGGAATCTGGAGCCCAAGATGTGTGCCTCTTCACTGCAGCCACACCCTGCCTAAGGGCAGGTCTGAACCCTTGCCAGTAAGGTGAGGTTCGTGGCAGTCTCCCCTTCAGGCCTAGAGTTCCTGGTCAGCCCCCAGGGTGTGACTGGGGACACCAGTCTTTATGCAGCCCCACACCTAATCAGCAACACCCTCCCTCCCAGAGCCACCCCTAGGGCCCTCTGCCCCTCAACCTTCCATTCCCCAAATCTCAACATCCTCAATTCTTCAAAATTGGAGGCACAATAAAGATGTTTTCAGACAAACAGAAACTGAGAGAATTTGTCACCAGCAGATCTGAACTCAGAGAAATACTAAAGGGAATTCTTCACTCAGGAGGGAATGATCCCAGACAGAGTTCTGGAAGGAAAGCTAACTACAAAGTCTTCCAAATGTTTGGAAACACATGATAGGCTCCTATGTAGCTCATGAGTCAAAAAAGAAATCACAAAGGAAGTTAGAAAATATTTTAAACTGAATGATGATGAACATTTGGACATATCAAGACTTGTGGGATGCAGCTAAAGCTGTGATTAAGGGCAAATATACAGCTTTAAAATGCATCTATTAGGGGAAAAAATGGGAAATCAATGATCCAGGTATCTCTCTCAAGAATTCAGGGCTGGCCCGGTGGCTTAGCAGTTAAGTGCGCGCGCTCCGCTACTGGCGGCCCGGGTTCGGATCCCGGTCGCGCACCGACGCACCGCTTCTCCTGCCATGCTGAGGCCGCGTCCCACATACAGCAACTAAAAGGATGTGCAACTATGACGTACAACTATCTACTGGGGCTTTGCGGGGGTGGACAAAAAAAGGAAGAGGATTGGCAATAGATGTTAGCTCAGAGCAGGTCTTCCTCAGCAAAAAGAGGAGGATTAGCATGGATGTTAGCTCAGGGCTGATCTTCCTAGGGAAAAAAAAAGCAGAAAAAGAACTGCAAATTAAACTTAAAGAACGTAGAAGGAAGGGAGTAATAAAGACAAGTGCAAGAATGAATGATACGAGAAGGGAGAGAGAGGGACGGGGAGAAGGATGGAGCAAATATGGCAACATTTTAACGTTTGGGGAATCTGAAGGGTATATGGGAATTATTTGTACTATTAAGTTAAAGGGAAAAGTCTTCATGCAGAAATCACGTCTTCACCCTGGCCATAGTGACTTAGGCACGTGCACAAGTCCCAAACCAGACAGAGATTGCTGGGAAGGAGATGCTCATTTCTGATGGGGCTGCTGAGTTCGCACAGCTCGAACTTGTTGCTGCAGGTGGCCCTCTTGCCTCCAGAGAAGAAGCCCTACCTATGACAGCTCAGACGAAGGCAGAGACGAGAGAAAGAGAACACTAAGGATACTGTTTAAGCTCCTGGAGGCAGCCAAGCCTGCAGCCCTTTCCCTGGCTGGTTCACATACACGAGCTAATAAATCCCCTCCCTGCTGTTTGGATTAATAACAGCACCTCAAAGAACATCCTTTTACATCTATCCGTGTGACTCTATATTATATCCTCAGGCTATTTCCCAAAAGTGGAATTGCTTGGTCAAAGGGTATCAACACTTTTTCAGTTGTGAAATCTATCACAAAATATAGAGGTAAAGTTTCAGGAATAAAGTAAACTGAATACTCATGTACCCACTCCAGCAGGGCCTTGTAAGTCCCCATTGTGTACCCACCAGTTGGGTACACAATATTTTGGCTACTCAATATTTTGTGTTACTCATTTCCATAATTGTCCTTAAAGCTTGACCAGCTTAAAAAAAAAACTCGGGCCAGCCCGGTGGCATAGCGGTTGAGTTTGCGCATTCTGCTTTGGTGGCCCGGGGTTCACCGGTTCGGATCCTGGACGCAGACCTACTCACCACTCATCGAGCCATGCTGAGGCGGCGTCCCACATAGACGAGCTACACCTCTACAACTATGATATACAGCTATGTACTGAGGCTTTGGGGAGAAAAAGAAAAAGAGGAAGATTGGCAACAGATGTTAGTGCAGGGCCAATCTTCCTCAAAAAAAAAAAAAAAACCCAAAAGCTGATTCTAAGAAAAGACTATTAACACTGATAAACCTCTAGTGAGACTGATGGAGAGAGAGCAAGAGAAGGCACAGGTTGGCAACGTCAGGAATGACAGAGGCTCTCTTCTGCAGACTCTCCTGCAGACACTGAAGTATAATAAGAGACTATTATGCACAGGGGTAGGCTAATAAATCTGAAAATTTGCATGAAATGGAGGACACATTCCTAGGGGAACATAGCTTAACAAAACTGAACCAAGAGGAAAAAGGAAATCTGAAAATCCTAAAAGAAATTGAATTTGTTCTTTTAAAAACCAAACCTGTAAGAGATCTCCAGGCACAAATGGCTCCAATGATGAATTTTTAGAACTTAACAAAGAGACAACCCCAATCTTATGCAAACTCTTCCAGAGAATAGAGAAAGAAAAAGAGGAAATACTTCCTAATCTTTTTGTGTTATGAGACCAGAATAACTCTGACACCAAAAGCAGACAAGGGAATAACAAGCCAGGTAAATTACAGGCCAGTCTCTCATAAACATAGATGAAAATGATAACACCCCAAGGAACAGACCCACAGGTGGATCTTTGCATATCAAGCTGATTATTACTATTTTAAGAAGACATTCTCCCATGTTGAATTACTAGGTCAAAGGTGTACAGATGGTTGAAGGTCATGACACGTGTGTCAAGCTGCATACGGCGAGATCCAGGCCGGCTTAAAGAGCCACCCTCTGGGAAGAGGATGGACAGGAGACAGAAGACTTGTCAGACATCTGATTCATAGGAGCCAAAGGAGGGGTCTGGAGGTCAGTGTAGGCCACGTCTGGGGACCTGTTTGCACAGGTAACCAGATATGGGAACAAGAGCCCTTGGGGTGGGCGGGGCCATCCTCTCCAGCAGGACGCAGAGCTGGGGCAATGGGGCCAGTATCTGCGTCCAGGGCTTCTTGCTCGGCCGTACCTTCTCATGGATGACCGAGATGTACCAGGGTATCCGCTTTCTCGGGTGGCTCTGTGCTAGGACTGGGCTGCTGGTGACTGGGCTCAATGTCTGGGATTCGCTCTTCTTCCGAAAGTAATTGAACTCGCAGGCACTCTTACTAACGGGGAGGAGGCGCCCTGCTGAGAAGCGGGGGTCAATTAGACTCTTCCCGTGCTGAGTCGCCCTGGCGTCTTCCAGGATAACGTCCCGCTTTCAAGATTCCCCTCAGAAACCCTTCACTGCCCAGCTGGGCCCCTCTCCATCTCCTGGTTCTTACCACCACCGTCCACGCCCCCGCCCCAGCCCGGCGTATGTGTTGAAGAGACGGAGGGAAGCATCAGCACCCTTGGGGATTCCCAGAGCCTGACAGTGGGACAAGAGGGTCATCCTGCTGCTGCCCCTGCACAGGTGGCCCTGGACACTGCAAGGGGTTTCCTCGCATTCAGGCAAAGGAGACATCTGGGTGTGGAGTTCATCTTTGGATAAATGAAGGTAAGTACATTTGTCTGCAGGAACAGTGCATATGGGTCTCTCCTCTCAAGGAGTGATGCGTCCCAGAGGCCCCTGTGTAAGGGTTGTAGGGCCAGGCAGGCCGTCCTGAGAGCGAGTTCCGTGGGGCACGAGCAGGTAGCAGAGGCCCCCGCAGGTGCAGGCAGAGGCCCTCTGGGCTGGGTGCTGAGGAGAGGACCCCAGAGGACCCCACGGGCACGCTCGCCCCAGTGCCCAGCGGGCCCTGCCCTCACCGTCCGCCTTCGTGTCTGACCCCCACTGGCTGGAGAACGAGTCCTCGTTCATCTTCCAGGTCTCAGAGCCGACACACAACTCCTCAGGCAAAGCGACTGTCGTGGCTGAACCTGCCAGATGTTAAAAATGCCAGCTGATGACTGCTAGGGTCCCACCTTCCCAGGACCTCCAGGGAAGGGACTATTCTTTCATTTCTTTTTAAACATTGGGTAGGGTTGAAGGTGATTTCTTCTCTCAGTGGCTGCACGGGATTGAACCCTGGGACTGAAGCAGAACATGGTTTCATCCTCCTACCCACCTTGGTGCATCCACTCAAAACTGACCAGGCGCAACTTAGTCTCTGCAAATCGATGCATCCCCTGCCCTGGAAGGATGGACCCCAAGTTCCCTTCTGTAAAAACGGCTCTTCCTCAAAGTCTTGAGAAAGCCCTTCACCCCATGGGGCAGACCCCATTTCCTCTAAGCTGTCGCGAGTTGTACCAATGGAGGGCGCCCTGTGGGCAGTATGTAGGCACAGACCCTGCACCCAGGATGCCGTGTGGTCCCTCAGCCCTTCCCGGGCACATGCCCACAGCAACTCATGGTCCTGGAGCACTGGCCTCTCTCCAAGGCCCTGGCACTGAGAAAGGGGGAGCTTAGAGCCTAGATATGTGGGTGGGGTCCCCACTTTTGCCCAACTGCTGGCTGAATCCATGAACAGGGCCCCAGTTGCTGGCCACAAGCACTAAGCCTCTATTTGACCTTCCCTAAGGATAATATCGTCCCTGTATGTGGAGAGATGGGACCAGCCCAGGTCCTGGAGCCTGGAGGTCTGGGATGATGTCTGGCCCGACCAATGCTCCCCTGATGACCCCTGAGCACCTTAGCTGCCCTCTCTGAGCCTCACATTCTGTATCAGAACAATGTGGGGGTAGACAAAGCCATTGCTAAGGATCCTTACAGGGATGGGCTCCTAACGGGCTGTCTTTGGCCTTATGGACCTCCTTCCTGAAGCTTCCAGAATCTTCAACTTCTCCCTCTCCCCTGCCCCACAACCCTACTGAATGAGACAATAGGAAAGCAAGAAGGCTGAAAGACAGATAATAGGAATAGTGACAGGGAGAAGGGTCCCTCTGTCCCTCCGTCCTTCCCACTGTGGTCTCAGCTGCTTGTTCTGGCTCAAGCTTCTGCACAGAGGGGATTTCAGAAGCGGCAGCGGCAGCCACAGTGTACGTCCAACTTGGCCACCTCCCGCAGGCTGCCGTGTGCTGGACGGTGGCCCGACTTCCATGGGGAGGGAGGTGGTGTTCATGCCGGGCCCCTCGTTGGTGGCTCTCACCAAAATGAGACACGGACGTGGCCCTGGTGCTAAACTGGGGGCAGCCAGGACGCCTGAGAAACGCCTTTCGCAGTTCCTCCACTTCGGACACGAAGCCAGCATCCTCGGGGCCAGTGTCTTGCTTGGCTTGGCTCTGGCGGAGTGGGAAAGGTGACAGTCACTGAGGGAAGAGACCCGGGAAGCCGCGCTTCCGCCAGCGGACCGTGAGGCCTGGCCAAGTGCGCCCACTGCAGCCGCGTGTCCCCTCTGCCAGCAGACTGCAAGCGGTACGGGCCCTGCTTTAGAAGCTGCCGTCGGCTAACTCGACAGCGTGAGCTCAGGAGGTCCCTGGGAGCGGGGGCTGGCTCTCTAGTCTCCCTCAGCACATGGGAGGTGCACACACCCTTCCACCTGCGCTCGCCCTTCCTTGAATTTCTTCTCCCCGCTTCGCTCCTTTAAAGGCCCCCTAAGGAAAGCTCAGGGCGACGGTGCATCTTCTCTCCCGGGCTCCGGGTCCGCTCCATTCTTCGCCCTCCCAGAATCTCCCTATCCTAATCCATCACAAGACGTGCTTGGAACGCTCTGTGGGCTGCCCGCCCCCTGAGGCCTCTCGTCACGCAGGAGAAGCAGGTCGTCTCCAGCTGAGCTGTGCGTGGCCGGCCGCCGCCCGAGACCCCGTACCATCTTCCTGTAGTAGCTGCTGATGGCCTGAGCCGACTTGCCGAGGGAGCGCTGTTTCTGGCGAAGCTTCCGTTCTGGGGCCTGGCAGTCCCGGCAGGCCACGCTCCGGAGGACCACCAAGCTCTTCTCCATCAAGTTGGGCACCACACTGTGCTTCTTGGGCGTGCTGGTTCTGGTAGGCAACATCGGGAGGGTGGGACAAAAGGACCAAGGTTTGCCTCCTGAGTGATGACTTAGACGGGCCGCTCCTGCGGGCATCTCGGTCTGGAGCAGGGTGTGGAGGGGAACACGGCCCCCAGCGCGGACCCGCCGCCTGACTCAAGCCGGGAGAAGACCAGCTTCCAAAGTTCCAAGTCCTGCCGGGTCCTGGAAGCAGTGTACGGCATCACAGATGTCTCCATGGCAACGGGGCACATCATTAGCCTTAATTTTCTGCTGGGAAGGGGACCCAGAAGCTGTTTCCGCTACATCTCAGGATGTTACAAGCCTGGGAGAAGTGGCCGAGGCATTAGCAGCCCATTCTCCTGTTTTTTCCCTCCCATCGTCAGTATTTCACCTTATTTAAAATCTGACACTGCGTCGGTGTCTCTGATGTGAAAATTTAACGTAGTCAGTTAAAATCCACAATTCAGAAGCATTTCTTAACACCTGAAAATGTAATTCTTTTTTAAAAATAGGATTGGGGGGCCGGCCCGGTGGCGCAAGCGGTTAAGTGCGCGCGCTCCGCTGCGGCGGCCCGGGGTTCGCTGGTTCGGATCCCGGGCGCGCACCGACGCACTGCTTGGCAGGCCATGCTGTGGCGGCGTCCCATATAAAGTGGAGGAAGATGGGCACAGATGTTAGCCCAGGGCCGTCTTCCTCAGCAAAAAAAGAGGAGGATTGGTGGATGTTAGCTCAGGGCTGATCTCCTCACAAAAAAAAAAAAAAAAAAATAGGATTGGGGGCAGAGAACGGAGAGACCGCTTTCTGGAGAAAGAAAACCTCACCGTCCCAGATTCTTAGACACACGGGCCTCGGACTTGCAAAGGACGTTAAGAAGTCGTGTTGGCGTGTCTGCAGGTCCAGGCTGCTGCCTGGAAAGGTTTTGTTCCCTGTCCAAAGTGGCCCGCTTCTTGCTGAGTTGAAATAAAGCCTTCGCCAGAAGTAGTTGTCACGCAAAGTAAAAATTTTTATTTGCAAATAAAGGAGACCACAGGGAATAACTTCACAAAGCTGTGGCTCCCCCAGCAAAGGGAAATTGGTGCCTTTATTTGGGTTGGGGAATGAACATTCAAAAGGGAAGTTTTGTCATCACACGGAGAGGGGGGTATAAGCTGGCGCAGGCATGTCTGAAATCCTGCTTTCAAGTACGTCACATGTTGTGCTAAAAGGGCTCAAGCTCCTCCTGGGGCGGTGATTTTAGTATTACAACGAGGCAAAGGTTACTTTTGTCCACGTCTCTGCCGTCTGCGCAGGCGTCACTCTTGCGGTTGGGGGTAGGACCGGCTCAGGGCGGTTGGTGTTTAGATCTTCTCACTGGAACGCAGCTGAAACCAACAGCCTGAAGGACGTTAGAGAATGGAACACCCGCGCTCTTCAGCAAGACGAGGGAAACAGGTCAGAGTCCGTGGCTGGTGACAGGTTCTTTTTGGCCACTTCATGTTTCTCAAACTTCAGTTTGACTTTGAAAACATTATGTTCAATGAAAGAAGCCAGACACAGAAGGCCACATAGTGTGTGATTCCATTTACATGAAATGTCCAGAATAGGCAAATCCACAGAGACAGACACAAATTGGTGGTTGCCAGAAGCAGGAGGGAGGGAGGAGTGGGGAGCGACTGCTTAATGGCTATGGGTTTTCCTTTTGGGGGGATGAAAATATTCTGGAACTAGATGGTGGTGATGGTTGCACAGTTTTGTGAGTGTACTAAATACCACTGGATTATACTCTTTAACATGGTGGTTTTTGTGTCAATTTAAAAACAACAAAACTGTAGTTTGAGCCCACATCCTTTCAGCTCATCCTTCAGGGGGATGGAAATGCCAGACCCTGAAGGCAGCGTGTAGAGCCAGGTTTTTAAGTTGCCTCAATTTCTTTCGAGGGGATCAAGGTGCCTCCCCAGCTCAGCCCCTCTGGATCACGCGTGGGTCTCCCACAGCTCGGCACGGCAGCCCCATCCTGCTTGCTGTTTTCTTCTCCAACCAGTAGCTGGTCTGGACCAGCTCTGAGTTTCAAAGGAAATTGGAGTATTTTTTTTTTCCCCCCGAAAGCCCCAGGAGATAGTTGTATGTCATAGCTGCACATCCTTCTAGTTGCTGTATGTGGGATGCAGCCTCAGCATGGCCGGAGAAGCGGTGCGTCGGTGCGCGCCCGGGATCCGAACCCGGGCCACCAGTAGCAGAGCGCACGCACTTCACCGCTAAGCCACGGGGCCGGCACTGGAGTATTGTTTTGAATTGAGGTCTTAAGCCTATTTCAGTGTCACATGCCACTGCTTTTTCTCCAGTCCACTTGAGGGACATTTCCAGTCGTGAAGTTCTCAGTTCTGCATTCATGGAAGGTTGAACCTGCCATCTTGGTTTCCACTCCTGACTGTGAACTTGAGTCTAAAAGGAAAGGGTCCCTCCTGGAATCAGAGGCTATGAGAGCCAGCAGGGGCCTGTGTGCGGTGCTGGAGGGACCTGTACGAACAAATGTGTGAACGAGAGCGAGAGAGGGAACACTGCAAAGATTTGGGTGCCTACCCCATGTCATTAGAGATAAAGACAGCACAAGGGTAATCCTGGATCATAAAATAAGTGTAAGAAAATCCAGTATTGATCATTCCCGTGAGGGCTATATTAATGCTTTCTTTGAGATCTATTAAATTCTTCCCTCATTTATTTTTCCTCTGCTTTGGTATCTCTGCTGTACTAGTGCCCCAAGTCTGTGTTGAGCAATCCACCCCTGGGTTAGAGGCAGCCTCCAATCCATCCAGCTCTGTTTGTCTATGTTGGGTGCAGTGTTTCACACATGGCAGCTAGGTCAAGGTGATCATAAGTGTCATTCAGATCCTCTATGTCTTTGCTGATGTTTTTGCCCATCATTTGCTGAAAGAAGGATATTAAAATCTTCCAACTACGGTTGTGAAATTGTCCATTTTCCCCTTTAATTTTGCTTTATGTATTTTGGAGCTGTGTTATTAGGCACATATGCATTTAAGATTGTCATGTCTTCCTCATGAGTCAAGTCTTTTCTCTTTATGAAAGGTCTCTGTCTTTTATAATATTTTTGGTCTTGAAGTTGTGGGAGATCAAGATTTGGCCACCCTGAAATATGTCTCTTTACCTTGATTGTTTTCTCTGAGGGACATTTGACCTCCCCCACTAACTGCCTAAAGAATTTGACATGGTGGCTCCTTCCTGGAACAGATCTTCTATCATGAAGCTGTAAAGATAATGTAAAATAGATGTTACAATGGGAGGGGCACCAAGCCCCTTTTTATCAAAAAACTCTATCTCTCCCTGACCACATTATCTATAGATGACCCTGAAAAGAATTGTCCTCCTGCCCTCTGAAGTCCCAGGCCACTACCCACCCCCAACACGCTCCTCGCCTTTAGCTGCAATACTTAAGCAAGCAGCTTACACAGAGGGGCGAGTTGCTCATTTCTGAGTTTCTCCCATGTATACATGTTATTAAACTTGGTATTATTTTCTCCTGCTAACTTGTCTTGTTGATTATTTGGCCAGCCATAAGAACCTTAAGGAAAAGGGCAGAGGGGGATTCTCCCTCTTCCCCCGACAAAGTCTATTTTATCTGATATTAATGTAGTCACTTCTACCTTCTTATGCTTACCGTTTTATGGCATATTTTTTCTATCCATTCCTTTTCAACCTGTGTCTTTATATTTAAAGCACATCTCTGATAGACTGTATATGATTGGGTCTTGTCTTATGATTCTCTCTGATCATCTCTTTTAATTGGAGTGTTCAGTCCATTAATATTTAATGTAATTATTGATGTGGTTAGATTAGGTCTACTATTTTATCATTTGTTTTCTCTTTGCCCACATCTTTCTTGTTCTCTGCATCCCTTTCCTTATTTTTTTTTTGGATTTGTTGTCTATTTTATAGAATTCCATTTTAATCCATCCATTGGACTTTTAGATATACCTCTTTGCATTATATCTTAGAGGTTGCTCTAGGTTTCACAATATACATCCTCAACTTTTCACAGTCTAGTAGAGTTAAAATTGCACCACTTTATGTAAAATGTAGAAATCTTGTGACCAACTGGGTCCTTAACCCCCCTCCCACCATATTTTATGGTGTAGTTGTCATGAGTATTGCATTACCTACATTAAAAATCCTGTAAGACAATGTAATAAATTTTACTTTTAGCAATATTTCAAAGAAATTAAGAGGAGAAATAGTCTTCTGTGTTTACACATATATTTCCCTTCAGCCTGAAAAACTTCATTGAGCATTTCTTGTAGTGTGGATCTGGCAGCAACACACTCTCTTGGTTTTCCTTCACCTAGACATATGTTTATTTCCCCTTCATTCTTGAAGGATATTTTTGTGAATACAGAGTTCTTGGTTAACAACTTTGTTTGTGTTTCAGCACTGTAAAGATGTCCCACTGGATTCTGGCCTCTCTGATTTCTGATGAGAACTCTTCAGTCATTCTGATTGTCATGTTGAAGAAAAATTATTCTGACACTTGTTAAATGGTAAGGAAGACTTTATTCAAGGCTATAGCCATAGGAAAGAGAGTTTTGAGCTCAACTCCAAATGCAGCAAAGACAGGTGGGGATTCATAGCCAACGAGCAGAGTGAGGGGGTCGGTAGATGGAACTCACTAGGACGGGGCATCAAGAGTAGGAGGATTCCTGCTAAGCTGGCCTAACAGGATTCCTGCTGAAGGCAGGCTGAAGACTTAGATACAAGGACTGAGATCTCAGGGGTGGGGGAAGAGGAATTTGATCAGATATCAAGGGTGGGGGGAGATTCTCACTAAAATAACTTAGCAGGGTTCTCACTAAAACTAGGTTTCACAAGGATGGACGTGGAAGGCCAAGGTGGAGGCTCATTTGAAAGAGGGCTCAGAGGAGCCTGACTATGGTTTAGTCAAGGACAGTCTCTGTCAGTTGTGGTTGATCAGGGACCCAGGCTGACAGAGGCTCCACCTCTATTACCTGCACCTGGATTGCGGAGGCAGGAAGCAGGAGCTCTGAGGGTCTTATGTTGGCAGTGCTCTGGCCTGGGGGTGACACTCCTCTCTTTGGCTCACATTTTATAGGCCAGAGCAAATCTCCTGGTCGTGCTGCATTGCAAAGGGGGCGGGGAAGTGCAGAC